AAGTTTCCCGTGGCACAATCCTAGTAGGACTTGTACTTCTCCATGCAGAGTCCTCCTAGGATTCATTCTCCTAAGGATAATGCTTATCCTTTTACACCCTCCCCACTGCTTAAACCAAGTGGGATGGTTTTCTTCATGGCCGAACTATAACATGACCGAAATAACACTGGCTCTGCTGAGCCACATAGAAGGCCGAACTATCCTTAGCTCGGTCTTCTCCTCTAACTCATTACTTCGGCTGCCCTTGTTCAACCTTGATGTGCTTAGGTCAACCTTCCCAGTAACAAGTTCTGACCGACCTAACCATAGTATGTGACGACCGGACTAATCCCGAAACCAGCCTTCCCTGTACATATCGCGACCAGACTAATTCTGAGACCGGCCTAACTCCAAGTTGCCTCCGACCGGAGTAGCTTTATTCTTCCTTAGGCCGAAGTAACTATTTCTTCTTTGAGCCGGAGTAATCTTACCTCTATGGGCCGAAGTTACACTACGGCTTTTTATTGATTCCTTCACACTTTGGGCCGCAGGGCCCAACTCACAGCTCGGCCCAATTCTTTCCCAAAAATTACCCTCTCACAGATCATCAAACTTAGAAAATGTAACAATGGAGAAGATAATATGATTTTCGCAGATCATCAAACTTGTAAAATATGATAATGAAGAGAATGAGTTAGTCTAAGAAAAGATAGGTAGATGAAAGAAAAAAAGATGGGTAGATGAAAAAAAATGATTGAATTTAATTAAGATATGGAATAAACTGAATATAGAACGTGTGTGTAAGAGTTGTAGGAGTTATAGGTGATGAATATGGAAGAATACAGATGCGGGAGTTGTGGGTGATGGATATAGATGAATATTTTTGAGAAAACATTACATTTGGTTATATATATAGTATAGATAGATTATTTTCTAAACACCTAACATAACTATAGTAGATCCTACTATTAAAAGCAATTACAATAATAAAAGATGTCACATTATATATATATATATCTTATCCGTATATGAAAATTACACCTCAATGATAAACCTCGTTTGATGGACAAACATTTAAGTCAAAAAATAAATTATCATATTTAAAATAAAAATAAAAAATCAGATATCTATAACATATATTAAAAGCAGGTAAGAGTGGTGTAACAGATGGTGTCACGTAACATCTATAACATTCCATAAAAGAATGAAAGCATACAAGTGTTGTGAATCTAACACATCAATTTACTAGAAATGCCCACTGAGTGTTCACAATATAACCTTCTGCCCAAAGAATTGACTTACGTGTCTTTTGTATCTCTTTTGTTCTTTCTAATTTTTTTGTGTACGTGTCTTCTTGGCCTTGCGCTGTTTGGGTGAAGCTGCGTGCAACAGAACCACGTGCAATCTCAACCGATTGCCTAGCCAACCGAAGCCCCCCATCTCTCCCTCCTAAAATTTTATTGTGTTTCGGTGGATTAAATTTGCAATCAAATGATTCTCTCTCTCGCTGTGCTCCCAATGAACCCAAGCACAAAATAAATTATCCGGCCAACAACGCTGCCTGTTAAGCAAAGATTTATATGTTGTCCAAAGATTTATATGTTTGATTCACAAACATGGCCTGATTGTCTTGTTTCAACAGAGATTCCAAGTGTTGCGAACTATTTGGACCTTCATATTGGCAAAGTGGTGCTTCAATGTGGTTTGCATCAGAATAACTGGTATGTTCTCTCTGTTTATTTTTCTGTCTGCTTCTATTTTTAATTGTATGTCTATTTCGATTTAATGTTATACATTCATGGCATTGTTTTATTCATGTTTTGTTGTCTTCATGATTTATCCACCATGTGTTTGCAAATATGTTTGAATAAGAGACTTAGGTGTCTTAGCCTCCACAAATTGTTCACCATGTGTTAGGCAATATGTATAAACCACAAATTCAAAAGAGAATAAAATTGAATCATTTCCCTTTGGCTTAGTATTTATTTTGTAGGGTATTGTTGATTTTGAGTTATGGTAGCCTTAACATATGATCGTCTTGTTCTCCATGTGGTTAAGCATTAGCAGCTACCCTTAAGCTGTCATTTTCTACTTTGTTTTGGAATCATCTAGTAAATTAATCTTTAGGAGCCCTTGTTACTTCTCTCCTTGTGAGATTCCTCTTTTTGTTTCTTTTTTAAAGGGCCCCTTTTTTATTATATAAAAAAAAAATTGTATCCATTATTTTTTTTGGGTGGAGTGGGATGTAATGGTGTTGAATTGGTAATGTTGGAGTTCTTTATCCAATTAGGCTTATATGATTGCCACATCTATATTGTTCATTTATCCATAACTTCTAAGCTGAATATCATGCTTCATTTTCCCCCTATTAACTGTCCAATTCTTCTTCTTCTTCTTCATCATCAAGATCGGTATCTACTTTGCAAAGTGGTGGCCGTTTCGATTGTTAAAAAATTCTATTCCTGTAAGCTAATTACGATTTTTATTTCCTTTTTTCTATCCATATCTAGAGTTTTTTGTGATTTGAATTTTTATCTTTATTGTGCTTTTTTGCAAAACCTGGGAATTTGAATATGCCTGATTTGTATATTTTGTTTTGTGTTTCTTCAATTCGAGAATTAAACACACGCATCTCTCTGTATATTCTGGTTTAGTGTGTGTCTCTTTGAATATGCCTAAATTGTATATGCCTAATGGGTTTAGTGCTTGTGTTTGTGTTTTGTGTGTGTAAATTTTGGTTTTAGTATTTTGTTTTGGGTAGTGATTTCATTTAAAATTGATCCTTAGGGAGCTTAGGGAATGAGCTGGTAATTTTTAAAATGTCTGCCTTATTTTATTACTTTTTGTATCTTGCTTTCTCTTTATCTGGTTCATTACAATTCAAGTTTTTTTCATGTTACAGGTTGCTATTTTTTGGTAGTACAAAACAAATTCTTGGCAAAGGAGCTTTAAAAGACAGTGTGTCAACCTCATTTCCTCATATTGTTTTGAACTTTTGTTGTGCGTGATATTTTCCTAACTTAAAAAAAAAAAGAATTATTTTGGTCTGTTCGTTATGTAGTTTTAGAGCATTTGATGATTATGAAGGGATTGAATTACAGTGGAATCAGGTGAAAAGATCTGTAGAGGTTGTTTTGTGAAATTCAATACCAGAAAACACAATTACATATGTGTGGTAGCTTTAGTTATTTAGTGCTTTCATTATGCTATGAAATATGTTGTCAATGAGGAACACAATAATTTAGATTTATTTAAGTTTTCAATTTTTCCCTACCTACCTTTCTCCCTGCAGTTTGCAGTTAAAAATATTCATGATGATGATTAAATTTTGGTTAGTTGGGGTTATAATTTTAGGCTTACACTGCAGGAATCATTCTTTAACATTTAACAATTGGAGGTAGAGAACTCAATGCTTGAGAGGAGAGGCATTGCTTATGATATAGTTTTGTTATATAACAGTCGGTAGTGGCCACAAGAGACATGGTTCATTCTTGACATGCTCTAATATGAGTAGTGCATTTGAATTTTTCTTTTTCTTCATATGTGTTGACACTGTTAAACCAATTTTAATTTTAAGATTGCTTTTTATTGAATTTGTTTTGGGTCAAAAAAGGTAGGGTTCTTTGTTTGTTGGACTTTTGTGAGCACTTGAAATTTGGAAATTAGCGTTTAGTCGCTTTGTATTTAGTTTCCCACCGCAAACACTAATCTTAAAATGTTGGGTTATCAAGGATAATTTATGTCAAGATTGATTTGTTTAACCTTGGTTATTTAGGTAATGGGTTTAAATTTTGTGCCAGCTAGAGAAAGAGATAATGGCATTTCTACCAATCATTGCTTCAATCACTTGGTCATCTCCCTTCTATTCAAAAGGTACTTCAATTCTTGCTTATTTTGCAGCCTATGCATACATAATAAGCACATGGTTTGATTACATTATTTTTATCATGTGCCCTAATGTAAATTCTGAAAATAAAAAGTAGATGGTTGATTCTTTTTCAAAATAGCAAATAAATTTATCAAACATTTTTACGCAATTGTAATTTATTTTGGGTTTGCTTTAATTAGAGTGGTGCTAAATATTGTTACACATGCAATATATTGCACCATTTTTTTTTGAATAATATCATTCCCTTTATTTTGGGTTTGGAACTTTCCAGCTAAAACCTTGTGATCAACCCTTGAGAGGATGTTGCATTTATTGGATTAATCAATTGATTTGTATTGCAAGTTGTAATGTATTAATTTGTTAGATTAATTAATTATTAAACTGATGAAATTGATCTATGTTGATGCTTTTTTGGATTGATTCCTTAATGCTAGGTTGATGATTAATTATATAAATTGTGTTTGAATTTCCTAATGGAGCTAAGTTTGAAGAGGTAATGATGATGAAAAGGTGGCAATAGGGCTACTTGATGAATTGAAAGGTTAGTTTGGTTTTGCAAGCTTCTAGCACCAAAATTTTTCTCAATCAACAAGAGTGTTTGATCTTATGTGTTTCATTGCTGTTGCTTTTTCTTACATATCCCTATGCTCATGAAATTGTGCATGTTCACTAGCTTAAGATCAACCTTTGATGTCTCTGTTATGTATACCATTTTATATCTATAAAGGTGCAAGATATACTAATTTAATGATGGGTTACTTACACGGAGACCCCTTAAACTAAATGTACATCAAAAATCAAAACATTGAGAAACAATTTCTACTACAATAGAGTTCAAATGCTCCAAAATCTCACTCCAGCGCAAATAACTAGCATATTAGCTTGCATAAGTAAGCTGGCCAATGTATTTGCTTTATTTTTGCCTATGAATGATCTACAATTCTTAAATTATGTTCTATAGTTCAATATTTGATCAATTTAACTTCTAATTTCAATTTATACAATAAAATTTAGAATTTAATGACAATTTATCGTATGTTTGTCTCACTTTATTATTCCTAGGCAACTATAGTGCAATTAACATGAATTTATTCCTAACAGATAATGGCGCGACCCGCGCGTGGGGTCCAAACTAGTTTTTTTGTAAAAATTATTACAATAGTGTATTTCAAGAGAAAACGCATGAGTCGTTCTCACCATCATCGTCAATCCAAGACATCCTCATAAATGACCTATCCATCACTGAACGTCGAATTCCATTCGATGATGATGATGCGTCCAATCACCCTTCAAAACGTCGCCGTCATCGGCGCAGGCGCTGCCGGCCTTGTCGCCGCCCGCGAGCTCCAGCGAGAGGGCCACAAAGTCGTCGTCTTCGAGAGAGAAGATCGAATCGGAGGCACCTGGGTCTACAATTCAACCACCGAGTCCGACCCAATTGGGATCGACCCGTTTCGCACGGTGATCCAAAGTAGCCTTTACGCCTCCCTCCGGACCAACCTGTCCCGAGATTGTATGGGTTTCCGGGACTACCCGTTTGTGGCTTCGAAAGAGGCCAACAGGGACCCGAGGAGGTTTCCGGGTCATAGAGAGGTGTTGGAGTATCTGAACGATTTTGCGAGTGAGTTTGGACTCAGTGAGTTGGTGAGGTTTGGTACGGAGGTGAGGAATGTGTGTTTGGAAGGTGGGAAATGGAAAGTAAGATCGAGAAAGGGTGGAGATCAGTTGGATGAGATATATGATGCTGTGGTTGTTTGTAATGGGCATTTTACGGAGCCCCGAATTGCAGAAATTCCGGGTAATTCTTCGAAATATTCGGGTCACCTTTGTTTCAAAATTGTGGTTTGATTTGTGTTTTGGATTGGGTAAATGGGTTTGTACCAGTTTTATGAATAAAATACTTAGGTTTGGTTTAGATAGATGGATTTTAAATGAAGTGGTTTCTGGTTAAAACCCTATGGAAATATAGGAGAGTTGAAGAGAATTATTTTATTATATGATCTTTATAAGGATTTCATCATCGTAGTAGTATGGCTCACAACAAAATTCAATATTGAAATTTTTATCTAAAATTATCATATTTAAAGTTGAATTATTCTTGTCAAATGATTATTATATTCAAACGCAATGTAAAGTTGCCTTTTAGAATCCTCAACAGTAATTCTTTTTTCTTTTTCCTTTTTTTTTGTTTTATAAAAAAGTTATAATTCATATGATTATGTGATGTTACTTTCAATTGTTACCATTTGGTGATGGTTCACCCAACTTTGACAATTACATAAATTGGAAAGATGGCCTCTTTGGCCAGATCTAAACTTATGCATTTTTGTTATATGACTTGTGTTTATGTGAATGGAATTAATTTTAAAAAGTGTTGTTTTATTGTTTTTTATAGAAGCATAGAATACTATGCAGACACTCTTGCCTTATTTTTACTCCGTCTTTTTTCTCTTCTTTATGACTGAAGGACCTCAATAGAAAAGCCTACAAGGCAGCTAGTGTGTCACATTTCTTACTAGAATTTTTTTTAAAAAACATTGGAAGCCATTAATGCATGCCTTGGTTCTCATATGATGCCGTGAAAATCAATTTTCTAAATAGTTTAATCATTCTAAAGGGATAATCTAATGCTTGTGTACGTTGATTAGTAATGGTTTGTCATTCTGACATATTCTGTAGTATGTTCCAGGCATTGAAACATGGCCAGGACGTCAAATTCATAGCCACAATTACCGCGATCCTGAGCCCTTTCAAGGTCAAGTATGTCTCAGCTGCAATTCCTTCTTATTTTTGAATATCTCTTCATTGCATAATCAAGTATAATGGCTTAGTTTATAAAGGGTTTGGCACTTTATGTTATGAAACCAAGCATGTTGTGTTAATTTTTCTGGAAGAAATGATTTTCATTCACAAGGCACGAAATTTTCATTAGGTGAATTAAATTGACTTAGTTTATAGGAGGGTGTTTGGATCTTGGATGAGTAGATTTGTTGAGGGAAAAGAAAAATTGAGAGAAATGTGAACGAAATGTGTTATTTTTTCCCCCGCACATTTCCCTATACAAATCCCTATAAATTCAAGATCCAAACAGAGCCTAAGGGGTGGCTCATAATAGATTACCATTAGGTGACGTTTATGTACTTTTATCAGATTACTTGTAAAAAAACTGCATCAACAAATAATTGTTATTATCTTCAAATAACTGGGTGATGTTCTTTCCGCATTTCTACCAAAAGTTGCAGAATTCAGATAATTATCACTCTGAAAACTTTGAAACTGTCATACAGATATTTATATGTATGTATATATATAGTTTATGTTGGACAAATAGGAGAGGAGAGAAGAAGGTAGATATTTACCTGTTATAAAGTTTTGGCTTGTCAGGTTTTGCTGGTGGCATGGCCTTGGGGGGTTTCATTCCTAACTAGTAAATTGCTGTTTCTTCGTTTATTTATGAGTTTCATGTTTTTATTTACATGTAGGTTGTAATTCTGATTGGGAGTGCTGCCAGTGCTGTCGATATCTCTAGGGACATTGCTGGAGTTGCTAAACAAGTCCACATTGCATCTAGATCGGTTACGGATGGAACTATTGGAAAGCTTCCTGGATACAATAACATGTGGCTTCATTCCATGGTAAAAAAATAGTGGGGATTTTTTTACACTCATCCTGGAGATTTGTTGTTCAGAAATGCTGATTTTTTTACTTTAAAACAGTGCAGATAGAAAGTGTCGACAGAAATGGTACCGTGGTATTCCAAGATAGGAGTGCAGTCCGTGCTGATGTCATTCTACACTGCACAGGGTTTGTCCCAATCGATTAGCAACAATGGAACAAAGAAGAGAGAGATGTTCATAATTGATCTTTCTTTTCTTTTCTTTTCTTTTCTTTCAGGTACATGTATCATTTTCCTTTTCTTGATACAAATGGCATTGTGACTGTGGATGACAACTCCGTGAGGCCATTATACAAGCACATTTTCCCACCTCCCTTGGCTCCACAGCTTTCATTTGTGGGATTGCCATGGAAGGTTTGACTCTTCCCTATGTTACCTTCTTTTTTTTCATTTTTTTTTTCTTTTAAATGGTGAAATAAATCTCTGCATATTCTTGACAATAGGTTATCCCTTTCCCATTGTGTGAAATCCAGAGCAAGTGGATAGCGGGTGTTTTGTCTGGTCGAATTGCACTTCCATCGTCAGGCGAGATGATGGCTGATGTCGAAGCTTTTTACAGAACATTGGATGTGTCTGGCATCCCAAAACGTTACACTCATAATCTCGCCGCTTCTCAGGTACATATATGTCTAACCTAGACTTAAAAGGTTGATGAATGATGAAGAGTTTAATTCTCAACGAACGATATGAATGTTGTTTCTTCAACTCCAATCCATGCAAAATGGGCAAGTCAATTGCTCTGCCACTAACTCATTACCTCCTCCGCCTCCCCAGCTCCCCCGCCATCACTAGTATAACCACTAGGGCACGTTTGTTTGGCCGCATGAAGGAAGGGATTGGATTGTGTATGAGGTGGGGTCCACCAATGGCATGTTTGGTTTGGGCATACACTGGAGGATTAAGACTCCACGTGGATTACTAATCCCCCTATGTGGGTGGATTAGGTTGGTTGGATTTTGGATGGGATTAGAAAAATAGTGAGTGAATTGGGTTTATTTTATATAAAAATGTTATTTTTTTAATTTTATTTTTTTTAATCAAATGTACCTGTTTATTTTAATAGTTGTTTTAGTTTTTTTAATTTATAAATAATTAACAATCCCATCACTAACCATCTTCAATACTATCATCAAAATAAACACACTTTTACTTAATTCCCTCACTAACAATTCCCACATTAACAATCTCTTCAATAACTATCCTCTCACTAACAATCACATCTAACCTAATCCACCAAATAAACGTGGCCCTAGTACATTAGTTTAATGGTCACAACCAAACATAGAAAAATATTTTTTGTTTTCCGTTACAAAATATTTTTTTGCCGAAACAAACAGTGTCATTCACCGTGAACCCTACTTATGTATTTTGTTGTCCTTCGATGTGGAGATGCTGACCTTTTTTAAAATGTATGCTCCCGGGTGGAATATATTTTATCCCATTTGCCAGTTTTGAGTACAATGCTTAGCTCGCCGCCAAGTGTAGGTGTCCACCCTCTTCTAAAACAAAGTCATCTTCATAAACGCCATGGTTCTTATTTCTGTATCTCTTTGTCTATGCAATGAGATTTAGCCCCTTTGTACCGTTAATATGTTGAATGACCTTTTTGCAGTTTGAGTACTATGACTGGCTTGCTGCCGAGTGTGGGTACCCAGCGGCTGAAAAATGGAGGAACCAAATGTATTCCGCAGCTACCAAGAACAGGATGGCACGGCCAGAAACATACCGCGATGAATGGGATGATCAGCACTTGGTTTCTCAAGCCAATGAAGACTTCATCAAATACAGTTCATCAAATACAGTTCAAAAGGAAATGGATTCATCATCTCTCAATAACCAGAGCTCCTCAAGCACTCCCACAACACAAGAGTTGTAAGGAGCCACTATTGTATTTTCTATCCATTTCATCATTGTTTATTTATTGTTGTGGGTGAATTGGTTATAGGCTGTTTGGTTTTGTGCTTTGTTTAAAGGGTAATGTTAGAAACTCCAAATTTTCTACCAAATAAATGACTATGTGACATTTGGTCACCCATGTGAGACATTTGGTCATTAATTTGATAGAAAATTTAGGATTTATAACATTTTCCTTGTTTAAAATGCTTCACAAAATTGAAATAATGGATAACATTTGATCCTGCATACACATTTTTTTGTGCTCTTTGTAAAACAGCATACAATTGAAATGTAATGCGAGGGAAAACGTTTGATCCAATTCTCCACATTTTTTTTTGGTTTTATTTTTGAGAATCCGCATGAGTTAGGGTACTCCAGTTCTCTTTGTTGCTTTTTTAATGTTTTGTTTGTTTCTAGTATTTTGTTTTTAATGTTTTGTACGGTTGGGCTAAAAAAAGAGAAGAAATTATAGTAAACTTCCTTAAATTATGATTCATGTGCTCTTGGCTTGACTTTTGATTTGCAGATTATTTTTTGCAACTTTGTTATCCAATGAAGTATTGGAAATAATGATCATTCAAATTACAAAATTTGTGAACTTTTTTTACTCAAATATGTTATTAATATTAAAATTAAAAGAAAAAATATCCTGCACATAAGGGGGATCGTTTATATTTTAGAGGGACATAGTGCGTTTTTGTATTGACTGGCGATTGTACGGATCAAAATTATAAATTTGTAAAATCACAAATACAAACAATTGTTCCTATCGCATTGTTTCACGTAAGAAGTTATAAAGTGTTTTGATCTAACAAAAAATTGTATTATAAATACAGTTAATTTTTTTATAAAAAAAAACTTGTCTCGTGTCCTCTTTTTTCTTTTGTTCTAGAAGAACTTGTTAACAATATTGTAAATTTTATTAATTTATATATATGCATTTTTGTTTTTTTATGTTTGTTTAAAGGAAGTGAACGAGAGGTAAGGAGTAGAGAGGCATTGGGTGGGAAGAGACAGACAGTAGAGAAGAATAAATGGCATAGGGAAGGGAAGAAGAAAAGAGGAGAGTAAAATACAGGAAAGAGAGAGGAACAAAAAATCAGAGTATTAAAGTAGTTTAAAAATAGTTTGCGGTTCGTGACCAGTCTGAAGTCTTTGCAGTTTGGGATAGCCTCAACTCGTTTAGTCTGTTTGGGTTCGGGTTCGGGTTCGGGTTCGAGCTTAACCCGAGACCTTAGATCAGAGCCTGAGTTATCATTTTGAAGCCCGGTTCATCAGTCCGCTTAAGGCCCACTTAATGTTCAGCCCGATGTCCAATATTTTTTTTAGTAAAAAAAGTTAAAAAATATTATACCCAGGTCCAAGCCTACCAGTTTGTCCAAGGTCCGAATACACCGAAAAATATTTAAGGGTCACAAAAAGTGACTCAAAACTATCAAAATGACATCGTTTTGAGTTATTTTATGCTCAAAATGATATTTTTTTGATAATTTTAAACCATTTAAATCACACTTTTTGTGGCCTTTCTATCATTGCTCGAATACACCCTAGACTGGGCTAATTTGTTGGCTCGTGACCCGATTCAAATTTTTGACGAGAATCTGCTAAACTCAACTTGAGTCCATCCGGGCCCAATTTACACCTGCCCACCTGTCACTCTCATCAGTCTCAGGTAAGCAAAGCAAACGTAGTGCCACTGCCAAGTGGGTCATACTCATTACTCATACCCTTACTCTCCCAACCCCACCATGATTGCATGGAATATAAATTTGGACAAATTACAAATAGTGAGATAAGCACAAAATAATTATATTATAAATGAAATTATTTTTTAGTGTAACTCTTATATACATGATGAGTTCTACTAAGTACATGAATAAATTTGTATTATATACACATAAGAGTTATATCATTATAAGAACGATAATATTATATATTCCAATTAATATATTAATTAGTGTATTAATATTAATTATAATATTATTATTGATCTCACTTATTATATAAATTATAAATATCAATTTTTTTTAAATTATAACACATCTTCAATTAGTACAATAATTAACATATATAATATTACTCTTATAAAAATGTAATTTTTTTGCGCTCCACTGAAATGCCATTTTTCGTGTAGATTTTGAGGTCCCAACCCAAGGCCTCCAAACCAACCTCATCTCCCATCACCTTTCACATTTCAGCCCCTTTTTGCCCCCCTTTTAGCCTTCCCAGCTTTGCCACAGCTGTACCCCAAATGACAACCATAAATGTATCATGCTTGTAATTGTAAAAAAATAATTATAAATTAATGATAATTTTTATTAATTTTAATAATTAAAAATATAATTTTTGTATATATTTGTAATCATTTTTTAAAAATTATATTGAATTATAATTTTTCTTTCCCTTTTTTTTAAACCAAAACTTCATGTTATTTTGAAAACAAATTTCAAAATGTAAGTCGTTTTTAATTCAAGCTTTTCAGTGTAAAGTGGTGGTTCAGTGTAGCGTGGTGGATTATCTAGTGATTTGACAATACCTTTTTAAGCCTGGTATGAAAAGTAAGTTAAACGATTAATTTAGTTTATTAAAAGATAAAATAATTTAAAAAATTAATAAAATAAAATATTATAATTAAATTATAATTATTATTATTTTTTTTTATCTAAAACGAGATTTTTTAACCTCAGACAAATAGCAAAAAATTCAAAAAGTTAAAAAAACCAACCTACATTTCAAACGAAGTCAAAATATTTTCTTATTACAGTTAATTTTTTTTTAGAAAATTTTATTAAGAATTTATAAAAAAATCAAATAAAAGGTAAAGTACATAATATATTTATTAAAATTTTAAAATAATAATGGCCTTATCTAGTAACCCGTTTACACTTTACCACTACGATAAAAGATGCAAAGTGTAAGTAAAATTTTAGATAAATTGTTTGGTTCTAGTTTTCTTAAAACAGTTTTTAGGAAATTTTATTTTTTTATTTTTCATATTTTAATATTTTCAATAAATTTTTTTAATATTTTAACATGTATAAGATAAAATTTAAAATTTATTATTTTTAAATTATACATTTTAATTTTAATATTGTGATGATGGCAGCGGTGGTAACCATGATAGTAGTAATAAAATGATAATAATGTTCATGACAATAATAACAATAATGATAAAGATGATGGTAATAATAGTGATGGCAGTGATAACAGTGACATAATGGTGATTGTGATGATAACAGTAGTGATGATTGTGATAGTGATAATGATAATTGTGACATGAAATAATGGTGGTGGCGGCATGGTAATTGTGGTGATAATAGCCACAGTGATATTGAATTTATAATAATATATATTAATATTTATGTTTAATATTTATAAATTCAGTTAGAATTAAATAAATTTTATATGACTTAAAAATTTTTTGAAGTTCTAACCTCCATTTTGAAATACTTACATTTTTTAATAATATCAATTATGATTATCAAATTAACATAATTAATTATCAATTAATTAATTTAATTTTAAGTAATTAGAGCATCTCCAACCCACTAGGCATATCATGCTTGTTAGTCAAAATGCCTAGTATAACTCATTTTTTCAACTCCAATGCACTAGGCATATGATTAGACATTTTAACTCAACTCACATTCACTAGCTACATGTAGCTAGCCTTCAAGACTAGGCAAAATATATCTAACCATTAGGATCATTTCCCTCCATCTTTGTTGCTGATGTGACATTTTATAAAATTAATAGTATTTAGATGAATAGCTAAAATAAAGAGCATGGTTGGAATAGAAACATGAAATAGTTGATAGACAAAATAAAATATATACTTTATAGTAATATTTAAATAAGTAAAATGCCTATTACCGTTGGAGATGCTCTTAATCATTTTATCAAATACCATCGTTGATAAATGTTGGAGGTGTTTTAAGAGAAAATAATGGATAAATTAATTAGTAAATATATGAATTATAAATAGATTGTCCAGAGGATTAAAAGAAAGCTAATCATCATTTTTTAACAAAACTGGATGTGATGAACCAAGTTATACAGCAAACTCCGAGATTTTTCAAAATTTGTTTTCTAAAATTTTGAATTTACTTCTCAAACTTAAGTTGTTTTATGAAGTCAACAAGCACACTCTCATAAAACAAAATAAGCTTATAAAGTAAATTCAAATTTTTTTTTTTTAATTTAGAAAATGTTTTAAAATCACGAGTTTGGATTAGAAAAAAACTCAAAACAATCCACAACCCGGACAAAACTAACAAATATCATTGAACACTACTATGATCATCGAAAATATTGATCACCAAAATCATGGATTTTCAAAGATTTTCCGATACCCTTTTCCAATGGCATCTTGTCAAACACAAAAATACCCAACATATCCCCAACCGGAGTTCCCCCACCAGCAGTCAAATTCAATACAACGGGGACCGGTGAGGAACACCCTTCCGTCGATTCACGGTGTCGGAAAAATCAACGGCCGGTGCACATATTGGTCGGTACTGAGTCCGGTAAACAGAAATGGTGGTGCGTTTTTTCTTCACAAAATCAGTGGTTGCGGTGCAAGCTAGAACACTAGTCCTAGCAACACTGCCTGAGCTAGACCCAGATGGCGAAATGGGCAACTCAAGGACCGAGTCATGGGTCATTTGTTCGTCTTCGAGCTCCAAAGAGCTCTCACCCCTCGTTCCCTGCAATTCAGAGCTGTAGAAATGGTGTTTCGTTACACCAAGTTTGGTGTTCCCCATTTGATGGACCTGTAATGACCATAAATTGTTAATATAGAAAAACCCATGTGGAGAAAGTGAAAATGTTACAAATGGGTTGGGATTAATTTATGTGATTTGGCCTAAATTTGGCCAAACAAAAATTCAAAACCCGAGTTAAAAATAATAATTTCATAAAAACAAAAAAATCTTAAAAATTTGTCATGTATGGGCTTATTTTTGTCTTTTTTATTTTTTTATGTAAAAAATTAAATTTTAGGATAGCCAAGTCAAATCTAAAAAATAAATAAATTTGACATAATTTTAAAAAGAATTCATAACAAAAATAAGCCTACTTCCAAGAGTCACAAAAAACTAACCTCTCAAAGTAAACCCGATAAATTATAGTCCCGTATCATTATTAATAAATTCTATCTATAATATTTTTTTCAATTATGAATTTAAATAGAAATCAAAAATATAAATAAATAAAATATACTAATATTTTTTTTTGTTATTTTCATTTTTAAATCACCATTCAAATCACAAAGTTAAAATTTCGTACTCCACGTCTCAATCCAGATATGTAAAAATCATGAACAGTACAAACTCCACATGGTAATACACAAAACATAAAGACAAAAAAATTGGTTGAGAAATTGGGTAGAATTGGCCTAACCTTGCAAGAAACAGAGCAGAAAAGGTAATGGTCTTGGAGGTTTCGATCACATACGACGCAAATGTTGCCTGAGCCTTTGAATTGACGAGTCATAGGCCTTTGATTCAAAAACACCACTTTTGCATTGTTTGTAGTGTAAGACTACATGAAAATAACTCAACTTTAGAAGCACAGAGCATGTAAAAAACAGAGTACGTAAAGAACAGAAGCTTAAGTTCAAGAACAAAAAATTTAACATACTTGAACAGAGGAACAATCGATCAGTTTCTGGGCATCAATCAACCTCACAACATCTTGATAAACATACCTTCGTATCTGAGAAAATTAAAGAAATTTAGTGCACTGAATCGATCAAATTTGGGGTTTAAGTTCAATGGGTCGATTACAAACCTGTAAAAGATGGTGGATTTGGTGAGGAGGCAAGCAATGAGGGCAGAGACTAATGCAACAATCCAAACAAAATGTGTTCTTTTTTTCAGATTCATGAACCAAACAGGGAATAAAGAACTTCTCACCCAGAAGGACTTCAATCCACTGAGGAATTGAATTTAAACCCACCTGAAATCCAAGTAAAAAAAATACAAAATTGAATCAATTTCCATGGAAAGTAAACAGCAAAGCAGGGGACTACAATTTTCAATTGTAAAAAGGAAAAAGAAAAATACCATTTTTTTTATGCCGTAGAGAGGATGGGACTGTTAGATTGTATAAAGAACGTGACAGCAAATGGCCATCAAGTCACTCTCATAAAACAAAATAAGCTTATAAAGTAAATTCAAATTTTTTTTTTTTAATTTAGAAAATGTTTTAAAATCACGAGTTTGGATTAGAAAAAAACTCAAAACAATCCACAACCCGGACAAAACTAACAAATATCATTGAACACTACTATGATCATCGAAAATATTGATCACCAAAATCATGGATTTTCAAAGATTTTCCGATACCCTTTTCCAATGGCATCTTGTCAAACACAAAAATACCCAACATATCCCCAACCGGAGTTCCCCCACCAGCAGTCAAATTCAATACAACGGGGACCGGTGAGGAACACCCTTCCGTCGATTCACGGTGTCGGAAAAATCAACGGCCGGTGCACATATTGGTCGGTACTGAGTCCGGTAAACAGAAATGGTGGTGCGTTTTTTCTTCACAAAATCAGTGGTTGCGGTGCAAGCTAGAACACTAGTCCTAGCAACACTGCCTGAGCTAGACCCAGATGGCGAAATGGGCAACTCAAGGACCGAGTCATGGGTCATTTGTTCGTCTTCGAGCTCCAAAGAGCTCTCACCCCTCGTTCCCTGCAATTCAGAGCTGTAGAAATGGTGTTTCGTTACACCAAGTTTGGTGTTCCCCATTTGATGGACCTGTAATGACCATAAATTGTTAATATAGAAAAACCCATGTGGAGAAAGTGAAAATGTTACAAATGGGTTGGGATTAATTTATGTGATTTGGCCTAAATTTGGCCAAACAAAAATTCAAAACCCGAGTTAAAAATAATAATTTCATAAAAACAAAAAAATCTTAAAAATTTGTCATGTATGGGCTTATTTTTGTCTTTTTTATTTTTTTATGTAAAAAATTAAATTTTAGGATAGCCAAGTCAAATCTAAAAAATAAATAAATTTGACATAATTTTAAAAAGAATTCATAACAAAAATAAGCCTACTTCCAAGAGTCCTTTTTCTTTTTCTTTCTTCCTTTTCTTCTTCTTCTTCTTCTTCGTTGAAACCAGAAGAAGAACAGAGGGGAAGAGGAGAGAGGGAGCCTCCGCCGCCTCCGCCTGTTGTCCTCGTCGCGAGGAGCTCGTCGCCTCCGCCGCCTTCGCCCGTCGCAGAAGCTCCGATCGTCGCAGCCCCGCGCAGCCCCGCCTCCGGCCCCGACTCCTCCTCCAGCCATTTTTATGGCCCCCTCCCCTCCCTTCCGCTTCCTCCTCCTCCTCCTCCCTCCTCCTCCGACTCCGACGAATTCGAGCCAAATTCGAGCCTCGAATTCGAGCTATGAATCATCGCCGAACTAAATATTGTTCAATTCTTCATTATATTTTTGTTTCTATTCACAAATTCTTTTTAAATTTATAATTCAAAAATACAGTTTAATAAAGGGTCTGGACGGTCTTCGGTCCAAATTCGGGATAGTTTGGTTTAGTTCGCATATTGGGTTCACTTTTGGGCCCATTTTCGATAATCAAAATTGTTCACATTTTAGAATTTATTGAGCACATTATTCTTATAAAAAATCACATCGATCGGATAACAGATACTATATATTCGGATCACTTTTGTCTGAAAAAAATAGACGGTCAAAAAATTAATGGTTTATAAAAAAATAATTCGAATATATAGTATCCGCTATCTGATCGACGTGACTTTTTATAGGAATAATATACTCAACAAACCTTAAAATATGAACAGTTCAAATTTTCAAGAATGGGTCAAAAAATGAACCTAATGGACCGGACTGGACCCTCGAGTCCAGATGGTGAACTGGAGGCAAGCCCCAGCCTTTAATAAACTCAGGGTGTGTTTGATTGGGGGATTAGGGGAGATTATTCACTGTTCGAATTGCTTATCCGAACGAGGGAGATGTCCGTTGTTTGATTTGGATTTTTAGCTCGTTGGACTCCATATCTCTCATAAGAGGGACTAAACAATCCTGAGGGGTGAGATTATTTTTATGGGATTGGTATCCCGTAGGACTAGTATATGAAATGTTCATTTTACCTTTACGCTATTACTTAGTAAACAATTGAAAAATGGTAAAATAGTCTTTTGAACATTTATAAATTATTTTTTTAGTGTTGTTAATTTAAAATTATATATTAAATAAAAAATATAAATTATATATTATAAATTATAAATTAAATTTAATTAAAAATTATGGCCTTATAAATTAAATTTGGGTAAATTACACTAACACCCCCTGAGGTTTATCTTTATTACAGTTCCCTTCCTTACCTTTTACAAATTACATCTCCCCGCGAGGTTTAAAGTTTCATTACAGATTCTCTCCTTCAACAATTTAATTTTTTTAAATACCAATTTTTTCCTCATTGGGTAAATTACATTGACACCCCTCACATTTTAGAAATTGCAATCCCCCCCAAGGTTTAAAGTATCATTACCAATTGCTCCATCGGTTAGTATTAGTTGGAAAAAAATTAATTGGAAAAAAAATTGTTTGAAAAAAAAAATAGAAAAAAAGTTTGTTAGTAAAATTTTTAAATTTTTGTTTAAAAACCAACGTAAATTCATTTTTTGAATTTACGTTTTTTCTTTAAATTTACAAACTGAGACAACCATTTATAAATCAAAAAAATTATCAAATAAGTTTTTATGACAGTTTTTAAAATTTTTGTAAATATAAATTGAAAACTGAAAACAAAATGGTTACCAAACAGTCCTTAGATGGTAAAAATATCATAAAATTAACAAATAATTAAATAAGTTACCAACGTAAAAAATGACTTATTAAAAGATTCTTAAGTTATGTATGGTTTGATTATTAGAATTTAAAAAAAATTAAAAATTAATTTGGTTAAGAAATAAAAAATAATTATCATTTAAGGGTAAAAAATAATTATTATTTTAACTTTTGGATAGGTTATATACATACGTATGGATGTTTCAATTTAATTTGTAAAAAATTATTTCTAACCACTCGAAAGATAAAAATTATTTAAAAATGATAATTATTTTTTATTTCTTAGCCAAATTAATTTTTAATTTTTAAAAAAAAATTCTAAAAATCAAACCATATATAGCCTAAGAATCTTTTGATAAGTCATTTCTTACGTTGGTAACTTATTTAATTATTTGTTAATTTTGCGATATTTTTACCATTTGAAACCTGCTTAGTAACTATTTCGTTTTCAGTTTTCAATTTATATTTACAAAAATTTTAAAAATTGTCATAAAAACTTGTTTGACAATTTTTTTGGTTTATAAATGGTTGTCTCAGTTTGTAAATTTGAGAAAAAAAAGGTAAATTCAAAAAATGAGCTTACTTTAGTTTTTAAATAGAAATTTAAAAAATTTACTAACAAATTTTTTTTTCAATTAAATTTGTTTTCAATAATTTTTTTTTTCCAACCAATACTAACCGATGGGCCAATTGGTAATGCTACTTTAAACCTTAGGGAGGGGATTGTAATTTCTAAAATGTGAGGGGTGTCAATATAATTTACCCAGTGAGGGCAAAATTGGTATTTAAAAAAATTAAATTGCTAAGGGGGGAATCTGTAATGAAACTTTAAACCTCAAGGGAGAGATGTAATTTTCAAAATGTGAGGGAAGAGACTGTGATAAATATAAACCTCAGGGAGTGTCAATGTAATTTACCCATTAATTTTTTTTAGTATTGTTAATTTAAAATTATATATTAAATAAAAAATAAAAAATATAAATTTAATAAAAGTAAAAATAATAAATTAAAAAAATTTAGTGTTGTTAAATTATAAATTATAAGGGTAAAATAGTGGGTGTTTGGGAAATGAGTTTCTTTGTAAGTTTTTTTAGTTATAGGATATTATTAAAGAATTTTTTTTTGTGTTTGGTAAGATAGTTGGGTTTTTTGTGGTTGGATGTGATGTTTGTGAGAGAAAAAATAAAGTAATTATGAGATTTGATGTGATATTTTGTTTGAATTTATTATTTTTATTTTTTTTAACCAATTTGTCTTTTAATAAAAAAAATTAAAAAAAAACCCAAAAACCACCTTCCCAACGAGCGCCTTTTGAATATTTGTCCTTATCTGATCCGTCAAATCAAATATTAGATTCACTAAAAATAATTTTTTTTAGACATTTAATCTTATCAAAAAATAAATATGGGATACATAACCAATTCAATCAAATAATCCGAAAAATTCACAGTCTTAAAATTCAAGTCTGATAAATTTAAATCCTATTTATTCAGTCAGTTCAATCAAACACATTTTAAAAAAATAAAAAGTCAATAAACACGTGTAGAGTGTAGATACAGTATCTGTATACACCGACTTAGGATAAATCAAATTCAAATCTATAGCCCAAATCCTACTTCACCGAAGATCTTAAATACATCATCACTCACTTGTCAGTAGACCTTAACTACTCTCTCGTTTATGTTTTTACGGCTACTTGGTCTGCTGGCTGTGTTTTCTATCTCTTCTCCCAATCACTCATTGACAACAAGTACCACAAAAGCAAAGTAAGATTTTTATTATTTTTCTCCTTGGTCCATCTATAACGCAATTAATTAAGAGTTTAGTCTCAAATTGTTGTTATTATAATATTTAGTGCGAGTTTAATATTTTTTTATTGTGCTAATCTTGATTTAAGTAAAATTTATTTTGAAAGGTCGGGACAAGTTCTTAGACTATAGTCTCTTTATTCAGAACGGACAACAAACATCTTAGTAATCTCTGTAAGAGGCATTGCTCTGAACTTGCAAGAGAGTGAAAAGATTTTCCTATATAAAACAAAAAAGTTAAGAATTATATTTATACCGTATGAGATTTATGTGTACAATAAATTTAAACTATAAGATTATAATTTTAGTTAATTTTTAAATAGTTAGGCTTTGTTTGTCATAACTTAAAAAAGTTAAAAAGTCAAAAAGTCACTATCCTATTTTAGTCGCATCATCTTATTTAAGTCACATCACATCTCTACCACATCACTTCAAACCCAACTCATACACAATCCATATTTCATAAAAAGTTAAAAAGTGTAGTTATTTAGATCATCCCAAATCA